CAAAAGGCCATTTCACTGTTCTATCAAGCCAGTGGTTTCAGGACAGTAGCAGTAAGGGAGGTGATTTCCACAGGTGAAGGCCTGTTGCCACATTTCTTTTGCTGAGAAGTGAGCTCGTGGGTCTGAAGTGATGCCATGTGGAGTATCATGGTCACGCGTTCTGTACATCCATGGACGGTTGTTTTGGCAGAAGTACTGCATCCAGGAAAGGCAAATCCATGTCCAGAGAAAGTCTCTATTCCAGTAAGCTGCCCTTCTGTGGTGAATCAGTCCGGCATGATCAACCTGCCACCAGGCAGCTGGCTGGGCAATATCAGGGGCTCTGTGTTGGTTTCCGATGCTGGCAGATTGGAACTGAGCAGGGAAAAGTTCGGTTCATTCGTTGAAATGCATGACAGCCAGTGTAGCTAGAGGCTAGTGTGAGCAGGGGAGAATGAACAGGAGGGGGCAGGGTAGGAGAGATCATGGTCCCTGGTTCAGACCTGGGAAGTTCTCCCCAAAGCCGCTTCATTCCCCACCCCCCCTGCCTTCTTGCCAGTTAGCTGGACGGTTTATTTGTAGGAGAGGGAGGCTCTCAGGACGAGAGTATCCCACCAGCTGGTCAAAAACAAGGCAGTGAATCATGGAGGTGCTGATGAAGAGCAAAGGGGTGCAGACAGCCAGCTACTTGCCCGCAACCTCAGGTGTCTCTCTGTCTCTCACTCCTTCCTGCCAGGGAGGAGGAGGACGTATCTTACTGGGGACTTTGAAGAGAGAAATTAGGCACATACAGCTCTTCCTTCCCCCCCTCCCCCATCTTGCTGTCAGAAAGAGCAATCTGCAAGGAGCACATTTTCCATGAACTTTCTCAAGCACAAAGGATGAAGAGTGAAAGGTTCCCCTGTGAAAAAAGGCAGTATGTGCAGCCCAGCTGCCTGGATGTAAGTCAGACCCTTTCGGGTGGGTTTCAGGAGTGGGAAGCCCACTTTCCCTTATATAAGCCAAAGACTTCACATATTTCTATCAGTAACTAGAAGCTATTTTAATTGTTTATTAATAAGCTGCATTAATAATTATTAGTGTGTATATATATATATATATATA